CAGCTGGGTCTGCGCCTGCCCTCTGCTGGAAGGGGCTGGAACTGCTCAGCTGCGTATCCAAAGCCATATGTTGCTAATAATGATTCCCCTCTGGACTCCAGGGCGAGGCTCCTTTGCTTTGGAAACAGGAGGGACCAAGCTCTGTACCTGTTTGCTGCGACACGTGTAGTGACAGCCAGATCTTCCAGCTGGCCATGGATTTACTGCCCTAATGACAAACAGACATTGAAAGCAGGGGTCCTGAGCAAAAAGCCCTGGGTGTGGCATGAATGTTATTTCCCATGGAAAAAGCAAGAGGTAAATGCTGGCTGCGTCTTACATTTCCAGGGGGCCTTTTTTCATCTTGATTTTGAAGGTCTCAGCCTCACACAATGAGATTTCGCACGTGCAAGTTATAATATTACTCTGCATGTGCATAGCATTTTGAACCCATAGATCTTAAAGCTCTTCACAAAGATGTGTAAATAAGAACCCCATTGTATAGAAGACTTCTCCATGGCTATGTAAAAAGTCATTGGCACTGGCAGAATAGAATCTAGATGTTCTGATAGACTCAAAGACTTTAAGGTCAGAAGGGACCATTATGATCATCTAGTCTGACCCCCTGCACAGTGCAGACCACAGAATCTCACCCACCCCTCCCAGAATAATCCTCTCATCCTGATGAGGGTAAATCCCTGAGATTGTAGTCCTCTTGGGGCAGAGACTTTGTCTTTCTATTCCCCTGTAACTGCCAAGCATACCTGTGGCACTATGTAAAATAATAAACGCTGCAGGAAGGATGGGTATTTTCCTCTAAAACGTAACCAAGGTTGAAGTGGCTTCTGCTTGCTGTTATTCATTGACCAAAGATGAAGTTGTTAGACATTACCTGCAGGATATGCACTTAGGCAGTCACCCAGGAGAGATTCAGATGCCACCAAGCTGATTAGCAGAGTAGTTTTATTATTATTATTTTATTATTCTTTCTACTGGTGGTGCACATTCCACATGCCTTGGTGCATATAACATTATTCTGCACAAGGATGGGGGGAAAATCCACACATGGATGGAAGAGAGTAGAGGGAACATTGATTATCAGTATAAAAGCAGGGCACTTGGGGAAAACAGCTTCACTTCAGATACCACCCACCTTGAAATCTTTACCATCAAGTGCAGGTAACTCACTGGATGAGAGCAGCTGCATGCCAGCTGCCCATCAGAACAAACAGGCAGCAAATGGGACCCATTCAGGTAACATGCAAAAAGTTGAGAGTGACCTAAGTCAAGCCCCATGCCAAGAAAGATACTGAGCAGGGCAGAGAGACTGCCATGCCTCTGCTGAAACGCTGCCATCAGCACTGGCCACGCAGGAGCGGGGAATGAGTTAAGATGCCAGAATCAGGTCATCCTGACCCTCCATCTATAACACGATGTGCAGTGGGGATAGAGAGCTGGGACATTAGCCCAAGGATTCTGTTCTATGCGGAAAAGCAACGAGTGAGACACAGAAATCTCCACCCTCTGCAATCTGAGTGCAGATGACAGATTCCTGGCTCTCTAGCTCCCTTGTCCCCTATAACAAAATCACTTTCATCACACATGGACTCATCCCGTTCTGTGCTGTCCCTGTTTCTCCTTCATAGATCAGAAAGAGCTGGGCCTCTCCATCAAGGTGGCATTCTGTGGGCAGCCTCGGGGATGTATTTGAGCTCTTACGAACAACAGGCAAAGGGCAAGCATTTAGTACGTCAGTTTAGTGGTGCTGGAATACAGCATCAGGAATAAAGTCCCCTGTTTAGTATCCACGCAAGAGGAACAGCACAGGCCACAGCAAGGCAATTTAAATGATTCTGGAGTTATCTAACCCACTTGCTTTCACTACCCAGGACTGCAAGTTGGGTGCAGGAGAGCCCAGGAATTCTGGGTCTTGAAACACAGAATCCAGACTCTTGGCCAGATTCCAGGGTAGGTAATTGCATTCTGCCTCTCTTAATTCCTCCTGGCATTTGCAATTGGAGATGCTACTTCTCCCTACTCCCTGTCCTAAACTGTTGGGTGGTGTGCGCTGTTACCCACTAAACATGACCCACCCACAAAGTGGCCACACAGAGTCATGGGGGCTTTGGCATATCATGGAAAACTGCAGAGCTCACACGCTTTCTTACAACACAAAGAGTGCGTCTAGACTAGCAAAAACTTGCCAGCTGTCTACACTGGCTGCTTGAATTTGCGCAAGAGCACTGACGTTCTAATGTAAGAATTCAGTGCTTCTTGCGCAAATACTTTGACACTCCCACTCAGGGATAAGCCCTCTTGTGCAAGAATACTTGCACAAGAGGGCCAGTGTAGACAGGCACCTTAATTTTTTGCACAAGAAAGCCCGATGGCTAAAATGGCCATCGGAGTTTTCTTGCACAAAAGCACATCTATACTGGGCACAGATGCTTTTGCGCAAAAACACTTTTTGCGCAAAAGCATCCGTGCCAGTCTAGACGCTCTTTTGCGGAAATACTTTTAATGGAAAAACTTTTCCGTTAAAAGTATTTCCGCAAAATCATGCCAGTCTAGACGCAGCCAAAGAGTTGTGTATTTCATTTCATTCTGTTCAGTGATTCGAGATCTTGGCAGATCTTACAGGTAACAGGAAGGTATGTTCTTGATGGATGGTTTACATACTAAGTCAATTCTTAAAGGCCTAATGTTAATACCTGGAAGGCTGTTTAGAACACTACGTCCTTCAGGATTGAATGAAGTCATCCCAACCCTGGCCCATTTCACCATATGTGTCCTAGATAATGTTCTCTGAGATCCTGTAGGTATTTCAGAGGGGATTCCATAGGTCAGACAGGCTGGGCATTCTCTAACCTGTATTGATCTTTACCCAATGCTCTAAATTAGCTCTAAAAGGCATTTGTACATGTCAGTGGTGCCATCTGACATGCAGGGCAGGAGGAGACTGCCAGTTCCATATCTTATGATAAAAACATGAAACCACATGTTGGTCAACACAAAACAATTGCAAGACAGAAACCAAAGACAACATAGTGGTCACTGCTCTGAGGAACTTGTGCCTAGAGAAAAGCATGGGTGTGTTGTTTACTGAGCAGAGAAGGTTGACTTGGCTAGAAGTCAGCAGCTACTAATTATGGAAGGTGAGGAGCAGTGGACAAGATCAGGATACAAAGAAGGCACAAAATAGCCTGGCTACAGCTTCTTTTGGTTCACGAAAAGAACTGCAGAGATACATAAAAAGGAGGGAGATTTTGGGTAGTACAAGGGGTCATAACACTGGCCTTAAAGTATCAGAGGGGTAGCCGTTTTAGTCTGAATCTGGATAAACAACCAAAAGTCCTGTAGCCCCTTATAGACTAACAGATTTATTGGAGCATAAGCTTCTTTGCCCACAAATTTCTCATTGTTTAGACTGGCCTTCAAGTATCCCATAGCTGCGGGGTTTGCCATGAGACTCCACCTCTTGTTACACAATTGTGCTCCTGAATCCCAGTTTTCATTTTAAAACAATGTGTCTAGCCCTTATGGTTGCAAAGGAAGCCCAAATGTGACCAAGCCAGGATCTACAGAGGCAGCCTGAAACGAGGGATGCAAAATCCCGATTAATCAGTTAACCAGTTAAACACTGACTCTGGAGCGGCCCTCTGCCTGCAGCAGGGTGGGAGTTCCTACTGGGAACAGGTTAACCATTACTAGGTAAGGATGATGCTTACTAGGTAACTGGTTAACCTGTTACCCGTTCACAACCCTACCTGAAACTATAGCTAGAGCCAAACAGTTTCACTTCTTCCCTTGGCATTTAACTAAGGTACTGATTCACAGAGAAAGCTTAAATAGCTGGAGTAAGGATGTAAGGACAGGGGCCTGAGGCCTAAGAAAAAGCCCACCGAAATAGTGGAAAGACTCTAGCTGTTCACACCGGGCTTTGGACTAGGTCCCTGATCCTAATCTCCCTTTTTCTAGTGTATTGAGTTCCACAGGGTTACTCCAGTGAGATGAGTGGAGCCAGATCTGTGGTGTTTGCATACCTTCCTGCTGCTTGTGGCTTATGTCAGTTCCCAACGTCGGACAAACACCCAACAAAATCAAAGTATGCGGGGAATGGAAATAGTCCTCAAGCCTGATCCTGACAGGCAGAGAGCAGGGAGGTAGAAGCTAATTGGGAAAAGGCTGGGAGCATGGGTAGAGGTGAGCCAGGCACACAAAACGGAAAACAGGTTGAGTCGCCTGGTTCATCTGGCCAGGTTCCAAGTGGCTCCCGGGAAGGTGAGATGAAAGGTATGAATGAATGACCCATTGATCTACTTCCTTATCGAAGGGTGGAACACCGGATATAGATGACTCAGAGCTTGGCCTCAGCAGGTTTCTTCC